TGGGAACTCGGTGATGACAGGTGCAAACGGATGAAACACCTTCCTGTTTCAACAATAATGTTGATACATCATTTCTTACACCTAATATACAGTATAAACCAGAAGGCCTTTGGGCTATTGAGCCTTTAGAGATGTAGAATGTAGAATGTTAACGAAGTAGCTTTTTTTTACCAAAATGTTATTTGTTTTGTTATTTTTTTGTTGGGGGGGTTGCATTGTACATTTCAAATTATACGTTTTATAAAACATAACCCCGTAGGCTTGGCCACTCAAAATAAGAAAAGAAACCACTAAGAAATACATACAGAGTTTAAGTAATAATACATTCAGTATAAACAGAATAAGAAAATAAAAAACAAGTGGGCCTCCACCCCCAACCTCCCATCCCATTCCCCCAACCCCGGGTCCTTAATGTACAAGAGAAAGTAGTGCACTATGTTGTCTCTCAATATACCTGGTAAAATAATGGTTAATAAACAACTCTAAGGGGGGCACTATAAAATCTGAGATTTTTTCCTAAATTATGCTTTCTCCGCTTGAGTTTTCCTTGTTTTAGATTGTTTTTTACTCTCAAAATTTAAATGGTTCATAGAGAAACAACGAAATTGGATGTTCTGAGTCCATATCTATGGTTAAATCACATCAGCATTTTTTTAAAAAAATTTTTTTTAGTGTAACTCCCCTTTAATTGTGCATCTGGCCCTTTAATTGCGCATCTAGCGAGTGAGGAATGTGCCACCTAATGTGTCTGTCCAGCGATGGATGGTTCTGTACTACTGCTGCTCATTTCATGGCAAAGTTATTATAAAACATTTTTGTTGTGTGTGTGTGTGGGAGGGTGGGTGTGTGTGTGTGTGTGGGAGGGTGGGGGGGGGGGGGGGGGGGGGGGGGGGGGGGGGGGGGTGGGGGGGGGGGTTGGATCAGCTTTAATATTGCAAATAGATTGTGGCTTCTATCAACATAATTGTCTGCATCGTTTCCAATCCCCCATAAAAAAAAGTTGTATAAATATATATATTGTTTTAAATAATACATAATTTAAATAATTTTCATGGCAACGTTTGCAAATAACAAATAATAGATATAATTGATATACTTACTCATTATATATTTCTGCCAGGTAAGCTTACTTTGCAGTTAACATTTAATTGAGAAGGTTTTGGGGAAAGTATTTCTGTCAACCCACAAGACAGTTATCACATCAACTGGCCACACACGGAGTGATGGACACAAACACGCGCACTACGCAGACAGACAGGGGCAATATTGCTTAAAATTCATTGGCAGATAGTGTTAGGTTTGGCTTTTTAAGCTAATAGTGGCTAACCAGGGGTAGGATAATGTTAATGTTGAGCAATGTTGTTCCTTGACTAGCACCATTCATTCTCGTTGTTGATCATTCTAATGTTATAACTTCTAATAGTAACTGTATCCACTGGCGATTAGGAGAGAGTGAGGTGATTGACATTTAAGAGCCAACATATTTTTTGTGGCAGTGCTGCCTACCAGCAGTAATCATCTCTGATTGATTGAGAGATTCAAGGAGCTATCATTGTCAAGTAACATAATAGATGCAAAGCATTGAATATTTGTAACTTTGACCCAGAAGCATTTAACTGCAGGGCAGTCCCACATCATATGGAGGAATGTGTCTACCTGATTTAGGGACACAGTGAACAGTTGGGAGTTCGGGCCAATTTAATCTTAAAACATTTCCCTGGTGTTAAATACTGTCTGTAAATAAACTTAAAATGTGTAAATTGATGGTTTGGATTGTGGCATGCCAAGGTCATATTTTTCCATATTCTGTTCCAGTTAAAGGGTTGTTCAGATTCAATTAGATCTGTGGACCACCATTTTTAAAAGCTAGCTCAGAATATGAGCTTTCCAAAAGTTGTTTATATATTATAGAGGTCAGTCCTTTCGGGAGCCCAGATCATTTATTTATAGATAAAGAAGTTCAAGATGCTTTGAAGGAGGTAATTTGTTACAATCCCGGTCTCTCTCTCTCACCTGGTCCGTAGGCCTTGGCCTTCTTGGGGTGCAGAGTCTTGGAGCGCAGTGGGGCACCAGGCTTCAGCTTGGACTTGGGGAACTGGGACAGGTAGGTCATCACCGAGTGCTCGTCCACATTGGGATCCACTATTTCCTCAGGGGCTATCACCTACAGAGAGGGGGAAGAGAATAGACGGTGCACAGGGTCAAAGGTTATCATCACTTCCTGTTTCTCTTAATACACAACAAATATTATGGATATACTGACAAGATACATGTCTCTCCTCCCTAACAATGGGAGTCGTTGTCCACAAAGCGGCACGGCGGGCTGTCTAGCTCCTGCCTATCCTTTATTTGGATTGGTGGATACATCTCATTATTGTAATCCTTTTATGAATATTCGATGAGGGTGGTTGTCTTCAACCGCCTGTATTCAATGGAGAGAGAGGCTACGCTACTAGCCTCATCTCATGAATATGCATAGCCGTCTTGAGACAACTCCGATATAAAGTGTTTTTTCTCTAAGTTGACGGGATGTTACGTGTCCTACTTATATCAGTACACTCAAAATAACTTAAGCATTATGAAACTTCTATTTGATCAAATAAACCTCACATAGAAAATAAACCATTAACGTTTTTTCTTGACAAAAGTTTACACTCCTTGCTTGGTAGGCGAAACAATGAAAAAACGCCTCATGCTGGAGGGAGACAGATTTTCTACCGAGTTGGGCCTCTCTCTTCCTCTTTCTCTCTGTACACAATCAAAGCCTGATTTAATAAGAAGAGGGGGACTGGAAGAGGTGTCGCAAACAAAGGGGTAAAAGGTTATCACATCACTTCCTATTTCTCCTAAACACAATTAAAGCATGATTTAATAACATTATAATAAATATTGTATTAATAACTACAACCCGAGGATAAAGAGGTACGTTCAATTGAAAGCACATCAAAGAATGACATGAAATAGACATAGTGCCTAATGAGGCTATCCGTCTGCCTGTAAAGTTGTTGTAAAACTACAGACTGGTAAAATGACCCAGAAAACCAAGGCAGTGGAATCAAAAGCAGCAGCACTTATGGAATTAAAGGCTATTTGTATTGTCCAACATTGTGTTTTCCTTATGATCGCAGTAGAAAGATGGGGAGGAGAGGGGGGATAGAAAAGCGAGATATGCCACCAGGAAATCATGTTGGAGTGGTTTAATGTAATCAGTGTTTTATTGAGAAAGAAAGTCCCTCTACGTGGAGCTAGAGTGAGCTACAGGAGTGACGTTTGAGTAGAGAGAAGTGGGGAAAGGAGAGAGGGAGAGGAGGAAGGAGAGAGCAGAGGGAGAGGAGGAAGGAGAGAGCAGAGGGAGAGGAGGAAGGAGAGAGCAAAGGGAGAGGAGGAAGGTGAGAGCAGAGGGAGAGGAGGAAGGAGAGAGCAGAGGGAGAGGAAGGAGAGAGCAGAGGAGAAGCAGAAGGAGAGAGGAGAGGAAGAGGAGGAAGGAGGAGAGCAGAGGGAGAGAGGAGGAAGGGAGAGAGCAGAGGGAGAAGAGGAAGGAGAGAGAAGAGAGAGGAAGGAGAGAGAGAGAGGGAGAGGGGGAGGAGAGAGAAGAAGGGAGAGGAGGAAGGGAGAGCAGAGGGAGAGGAGGAAGGAGAGAGAAGCAGAGGGAGGGAAGGAGAGAGAGAGGAGAAGGAAGAGAGAAGCAGAGGGAGAGGATGAAGAGAGAGAGCAGAGGGAGAAGGGGAAGGAGAGAGCAGAGGAGAGGAGAGAAGGAGAGAGCAGAGGGAGAGGAGAAGGTAGAGAGAGAGGAGAGGAGGAAAAGGGGAGAGCAGAGGGAGAGGAAGGAGAGAGCAGAGGGAAAGAGAGGACGGAGAGAGCAGAGGAGAGTGAATGAGAGAGAGAAGATGAGAGAGGAGAGATAGAAGAGGGAAGGAGGAAAGATGAGAGCAGAGGAGAGGAAGGAGAGAGAGAGGAGAAGGGGAAGGAGAGAGCAGAGGGAGAGGATGAAGGGAAAAGCAGAGGAGAAGGGGAAGGAGGAGAGAAGAGGAGAAGAGGAAAGAGAGAGCAGAGGGAGAAGGGAGAATGAAGAGAGACAGAGAGAAGGGAAGGAGAGAGAGAGAGAGAGAGAGAAGAGAGAGAGAGGAGAGGAAGAATTGAGAGAAAGGAGAAGGGAGTAGAGAGCAAGGAGAGGAGGAGGAGCAGGAGCAAGGGGAGAGGAGGAAGGAGGGAGCAGAGGGAGAGGGGGAAGGAGAGAGCAGAGGGAGAGGAGGAAGGAGAGAGCAGAGGGAGAAGGGGAAGGAAAGAGCAGGACAATGAGAGACTTAGAACAAGTGAGGAAAGAGATGGAAATGAGATAGAGAAAGAAAGAGAGGGGGGAAAAGGGGGAGATGTAAGGAAAAATAGAAATATTAGAGAGAGAGAGGGGGGGGGGGGATGTAAGGTTCTGCAGCAGCTGTTAGGCACATGAAATGTCTGTGTTTAAATAGCCCTCTGGATAATGGAGTCCCTAATTATACACAACTACAACACGGGGACTTACAGGTGGAAACACACACACACTCACACACACTCACATACTCTCACACACACATGCTAATTTAAAACCTACATACCCACAGGGGTGTGTTGCTCTGAGAGGAAACAGGCTGTACATGCTAAATAGGTGCCACTGCTTCAGGCATACATACTTGTACATACATACATACACAGACTCTTACTATAGGTATTCTACTCCCAATGTATTATGCTGATATCATATCTTAAACCATGCCTCATGGGCAGAATAAATAATGAGTTTGGCAAAATGACTTTCCCAACCTTGTTAAAGGGTCTGTCAACAGGTTCTCTGTTTTCAGACTGAGAATGATATTGATCTGACCCAGCTTGCATCATGCTGTGCATCCCATTGTGTCAAAATGGCATATTTTCTCCCTTTCTAATAGTTTCTCTTTCTCTTTACAGTCATCCATGTGGATCCCTCTCTCTCTCTCTCTCTCTCTCTCTCTCTGAGGGGTGTCAGAGGGTTTTCTGGCTATATTTAACCCTTGGGTGTAGGGCCAGGGGGCGAGCCTGAAAATAGACCAGCCATTATTTAGCATGGCCACTCGCTGCGTTAACCATTATGCTACTCTCTGTGTGTTCCTCTACTGATACAGGGTCAGTGGTGTTTTGGGGATCACAATGTTTAAGGTTAGACAGGGGTATCAAGAGCTGATCCTGGTTCAGTTGTTCAAGATGTAAACACGTCCCACGACCTTGTTACTCCCACCATGTGACACGGGGCTCTAAGCATGCTGGGATTGCCCCCATTCTGCCATACAGTGATGGACTGGACCCTCCCATATAAGCTCAAATACAAGATACACATACACACACACAAAAACACACACACACACGTGCACACACACACACACACGCTCCCTCCTCTATACACATGCATACACTTATTAAGAACAGCTTAAGAAAATAGCAAGGCCCATCATGGTCTCACCAATCCTCCTAATCCCTAATATTTATGCCGCCATATATTTGCCTTCTCTCTCCTCCCCTCATTTCTCTATAGAGAGTTGCAGGTTTCCTTGGTCTGTATAAAAATCATTGACTAAGGAGCAGAAGGTTGTTTCAGCTAGTGGGAACTAATGTTTGGGCCAATTGATACATTGAAAGAAGTGCTTATTGACACGATAAAACTCAGGGAATATAGAGTTTCTGTTCATGTTTTCCATCTTAGAATCTAGAAGTGCTATAGACTAGTGTGTGACTGGGGGACAGTTTGTGGTTTCATATGAACATGCTCCAGTGGTCCTGGTAGTGGCATCGGTTAACCCAGCCTCGCCTCTTCAGAATCCAGCCTAACCTGATGCCAACCTGGCCTCTCCTCTCTCCAAGACCCAGTCCAGTACAGCAGCATGCCAATGTACCTCCACAACCTCATACTGAAGAAACAAGCTGAACACAATCCCACATACACTTATCCACATAGGCCTATGTGGCCAACAAACATAACAGCCCTGAGCTCCAGCTTACTCTGTTCAGACCGGATCAGACCAGAACGGTCACCAGCAGAGCTGTCTGTAAGTGTGATGTTCAGACAGAGAGGGACACGCCCCCTACATCCTGTTTACCTGGCTGTCACTCAAACCCTATCATGACCTCTAACTGACCACCTGGGCTAGAGGAGACAGGCTGTGGAATGTCACCTGGGAAACACCCACCCACTCCAACTCCAACTCACACACTCAAAGAACAGATTGATCATACATGCTTATGACAAGTCTTACAGTGAATTTAAAAACACATCACAATACATTTTACCAGCCTTTAAGCTGTAAAGTCTTACCAAAGATTGCCCTGCTGTTTACCACTGAAGCCAGTTGCCTCAGAGTAACTGAGTCTAAAGCAAGTATGTGGATTTGAGTTTAACTAGATGAGTTTAACTAGATGAGTGTTAACTATATGAGTTTAACTAGTACGGATGAGTTCAGGTTATGTGAACTAAACCAGGTGAGACCAGGAGTGAATGTGAGTGTAGGTGGTGTGGTGATGTTACCTGGGGCACTCCGAGCCAGTCGTCAGCCTGCTGCATGGCCTCCCTGGCATTCTCCACAGGCTGGCTAGGATCCCACGTCTCCCAGTCAGGACACAGGCCTACATGACAGGGAGGGAGGGAGGGAGGGAGGGAGGGAGAGGGGAGCGAGGGAGAATTTAGTCATGGGACAACAGTACACAGAGAATCAACATAGCTCCATCCACTACGATTCACTATCACCATGACAACAACTGCCAAACCATGTTTACCCACAATACTTTGCCTCTACAGTAGGGACAAATCAATTCTTAGAGAGCGGTGAGTTACTTTTTTCCTGATGTCCGACTGTGGGTCACTCTGAACAAAGCTGACACACACATATACACACACACACTGTAACAATGCAGCTTATAGGATTATCAGGGAGTGACGTGAGGATGAGAGATGTAGGAAGCCTCAGATGACACACAAACACAGAGGAGTGTCATCCCTACACAGTTCTCTATCCACCAACCTGGTCTCAGAGCATTTCGTATTATTCTGTACGTATATCCGAGACACTCCAATTAGTATGATATGTTACGTTTCATATGGTCTGTATTAATTTGTGGATGTCCATCAATCATTTCATATGATACGTTACGATTTACAAATCGTATGATATGTTACAAATTTGCAAAACGTGCAATATGTTACGAATTTGAAAAACGTATGATATTCAAATTTGTTGTGGCTAACGTTAGCTAGGTGGCAAACGCTAATGTTAGCTAGCTGGCTAACATTAGCAAGTTTAGGGGTTAGGGTTAGGGGTTAGGATTAAGGTTAGGGTTAAGGAAAGGGCTAGCTAAAAGAGTTAAGGTTAGAGTTAGGAGAAGGGATGGCTAACTTGCTAAGTAGTTGCAAAGTAGCTAAAAAGTAGTAATTAGTTGAAAGGTTGCAAAAATGCTAAAGTTGTCCATGATTAGATTTGAACACGGAACCTTTGGGTTCCTAGATATTTGCGTTGTAAGCCCACCCATCCACCCTGTAACATACAGTATAATACCAATTTGAGTGTCCCGAATTTACATTTACTATGTTATGTCTAGTCTATTTTATTTCACCTTTATTTAACCAGCTAAGCCAGTTGAGAACAAGTTCTCATTTACAACTGCGACCTGGCCAAGATAAACCAAAGCAGTGCGGTAAAAACAACAACAACACCGAGTTACATATGGAATAAACAAAATGTACAGTCAATAACACAATAGAAAATCTATATACAGTGTGTGCAAATGTAGTAAGTTATGGAGGTAAGGCAATAAATAGGCCATAGTGCAAAATAATTACAATTATAATTTAGTATTAACACTGGAGTGATAGACATGCAAAAGATGATGTGCAACTAGAGATACTGGGGTGCAAATGAGCAAAATAAATAACAATGTAAATAACAATATGGGGATGAGGTAGTTGGGTGGGCTAATCACAGATGGGCTGTGTACAGGTGCAGTGATCGGTAAGCTGCTCTGACAACTGATGCTTAAAGATAGTGAGGGAGATAAGTGTCTCCAGCTTCAGAGATTTTTGCAGTTCGTTCCAGTCATTGGCAGCAGAGAACTGGAAGGAATGGCGACCAAAGGAGGTGTTGGCTTTGGGGATGACCAGTGAGACATACCTGCTGGAACGCCTACTAAGGGTGGGTGTTGCTATGGTGACCAGTGAGCTAAGATAAGGTGGGGATTTGCCTGGAAGTGATTTATAGATGACCTGGAGCCAGTGGGTTTGGCGACTAATATGTAGTGAAGGCCAGCCAATGAGAGCGTACAGGTCACAATGGTGGGTAGTATATGGGGCTTTGGTGACAAAATGGATGGCACTGTGATAGACTACATCCAATTTGCTGAGTAGTGTTGGAAGCTATTTTGTAAATGACATCGCCGAAGTCAAGGATCGGTAGGATAGTAGGTTTTACGAGGGCATGTTTAGCAGCATGAGTGAAGGAGGCTTTGTTGCGAAATAGGAAGCCGATTCTAGATTTAACTTTGGATTGGAGATGCTTAATGTGAGTCTGGAAGGAGAGTTTACAGTCTAACCAGACACCTAGGTATTTGCAGTTGTTCACATATTCTAAGTCAGACCCGCCGAGAGTAGTGATTCTAGTCGGGCAGGCAGGTGCAAGCAGCGTTCGATGAAAGAGCATGCATTTAGTTTTACATGGGCAAATTGCAGCGGAGGGTGCAGAGCTGGTGGCCGGGGTAGGGATAGCCAGGTGGAATGCATGGCCAGCCATAGCAAAATGCTTGTTGAAATGTTCGATTATCGTAGATTTATCGGTAGTGACAGTATTTCCTAGCTTCAGTGCAGTGGGCAGCTGGGAGGAGGTGCTCTTATTCTCCATGGACTTTACAGTGTCCCCAAACTTTTTGGAGTTAGTGCTACAGGATGCACATTTCTTTTTCAAAAAGTTAGCCTTTGCTTTCCTAACTGATTGTGTATATTGGTTCCAGTTGCATATCGTGGGGGCTGTTCGATGCTAATGCAGTACGCCACAGGATGTTTTTGTGCTGGTCAAGGGCAGTCAAGTCTGGGGTGAACCATGGACTATATCTGTTCTTACTTCAGAATTTTTTGAATGGGGCATGCTTATTTAAGATGGAGAGGAAAGCACTTTTAAAGAACAACCAGGCATCCTCTACTGACGGAATGAGGTCAATATCCATCCAGGATACCCGGGCCAGGTCAATTAGAAAGGCCTGCTCGCTGAAGTGTTTTAGGGAGCGTTTGACAGTGATGAGGGGTGGTCGTTTGACCGCGGACCCATTACGGACGCAGGCAATGAGGCAGTGATCGCTGAAATCCTGGTAGAAGACAGCGGAGGTGTATTTAGAGGGTAAATTAGTCAGGATGATATCTATGAGGGTGCCCATGTTAACAGATGTATCTATGAGGGCATCTAGTTTAGATTGTAGGACGGCCGGGGTATTAAGCATATCCCAGTTTAGGTTACCAAGCAATACGAACTCTGAGGATAGATGGGGGGCAATCAATTCGCATATGGTGTTCAGGGCGCAGCTGTGGGCTGAGGGGGGTCTGTAGCAAGCGGCAACAGTGAGAGACTTATTTCTGGAAAGGTAGATTTTTATAAGTAGAAGCTCAAACTGTTTGGGCACAGACCTGGATAGTATGATAGAGCTCTGCAGGCTATCTCTACAGTAGATTGCAACTCCGCCCCCTTTGGCAGTTTTATCTAGACGGAAAATGCTGTAGTTGGGAATGGACATTTCAGAATCTTTGGTGGCCTTCCTAAGCCAGGATTCAGACACTGCTAGAACATCAGGGTTGGCGGAGTGTGCTAACGCAGTGAATAACTCAAACTTAGGGAGGAGGCTTCCGATGTTAACATGCAAGAAACCAAGGCTTTTGCGGTTACAGAAGTCAACAAATGATAGCGCCTGGTGAGCAGGAGTGATCCTGGGGGCTACAGGGCCTGGGTTAACCTCTACATCACCAGAGGAACAGAGGAGGAGTAGAATAAGGTACAGAGAAAAAAAGGGGCAGATTTCTGGGCGTTGTAGAATAGATTCAGGGCATTATGTACAGACAAGGATATGGAAGGATATGAGTACAGTGGAGGTAAACCTAATCGTTGGGTAAAGATGAAAGAGATAGCATAACTGGAGGCATCAATTGAGACAGTCTCCACGTGTGTGGGGTGTGGGACAAAGGAGCTCTCTGAGACAGGTTGAGCAGGACTGGGGGCTCTACATTGAGACCAGGCTGTGTCCACTGACTGGAACGGGAGAGAGGGCTCAGCACTACTCAACGTGACAGAGTGGTTTGGTGTTTTTTACTGTTGTTTCTCCCACCTCAGTACATGGCAATACATTTTCCCTAAGTCTCATTAGCTGTCATGGCTGTCTCTATTGCAGTTCCATCTAGAATGTTCTCAGCTCAGGGTGGCTTCCTTGTGCAAACCCCACTACTGCCAGGAGCCGTATGAAAACAGAGGTGTGAGGCAAAAGGATACTAAACAAATACATGGCAGAGAGTGAGGGGGCTCTAGGGGGTGGTTGAAAAACTAACAGGAGAGGAACATAAACCCCCCAAAGCATTCTCCCACACTGCCAAAGAGCTGTACCTGACCCTCATATTTGTATGTGTTCCAGAAACACACACACACACACACACACACACATGCATACACACAATACACACGCACACACATATGTAAACACACACACACAGTGATACTCAAGATGGGTCATTATGTTTAGTAAGCCCTCTACAGCTGGCCAGTAGTAGAAACTAGTACCTTTTTCAACCAACTCATACCTGTTTAATGTGCCTCTGTTGGGCTGACGTGTGATTTTTTGGCTCTGGGGGGTCTGTGACCAGGCAGTGTGAGGATGAGAGAGGGCCATTCAGCGGGGGTGGATAGAGGGGTGTGTCGGGTAAAAATCTGATGAGTAACATTTCACTCTGAGGAGAGGTGAACAGCCTCAGGATAGGATGCTGTGTTAACTTTGCTGTGGAATCGTGTGTGTGTGTGTGTGTGTGTGTGTGTGTGTGTGTGTGTGTGTGTGTGTGTGTGTGTGCGTGTGTGTGTGTGTGTGTGTGTGTGTGTGTGTGTGTGTCCAAACCCTCTCTGTTCCCTGTTGCTTAGTCCTGGCGTATTGTTATATTCTAGTGTAAATACACTGAAGGACAAGACATGGACTCAAGCCACGAGCAAACCTTTCCTTAATTTACTTCTACGGACAATACGCTTTACTTTACTGTCCACCCTTACTTCTAACAGAGAGGCCTCTGCCCTGTTCCTGTTGCTCCTTAACAACATACATGAGCACACACACACACAATAATGTGTTTGCCAGGAAATGCGGCGCTCTACATGTGTTTTCACTTATTGCGTTCCTCGCTGCTGTGTTCTCTACTCTGACACTCTCCATGCTGTTACAGCAGCCAGAAACCCACTGGCTCCACACTGCAGCCTGCAGCACACCAATGTCCAGCGGCTTGCGGGGAACGGGTTTGGCTGAACCATGGGAACTCGAGGTGTCAGGACTAATTAGCTACGCAGTTGTCTATCAGGTCTGAGAGCAGTTTGAGTTCCACCCAAAACAGTTATTATATTTTACATTGACATTTCAGTCAATTAGCAGACGCTCTTATCCAGAGCGACTTGCATTCATCTTAAGATAGCTAGCTGAGACAACAACATATCACAATCATAGTAAATACATTTTTCCTCAATAAAGAAGTTATCAGCAAAGTCAGTGCTAGAAGGAAAAGACAAGTGCAATGTTTCTTTTTTATGCTCAACTGTATATTTCACATGTCTTGCTAATGGGTGAATGGTCCTGAATGTAAAATGTTGTGCTGACAAGAGCATTTTGGTGGCCCTAAGCGAGATTTGGTTGGGGGGCCCTCACAGGCAAAACATTTTACTGGTTCCTCTCTTGACGGTGAAGAGAAAAATGTGCAGCTTTAATATTGATGTCCTGCAATTCTACACATAGAGAGAAATGTGGCAGTTTTAAAGCATATTTTCTACAATTCCTCAAATTTTTCCATGTGGCAGAGAGAAAATGTAGCCGTTTTAAAACTAATTTCATGTGATTCAACGAATTTGCCATGAATTATGAGTGACTAGCAAAATCAATGGGGGCCCCCTGGAGGTCAGGGCCCCTGCGTCACGATCGTCATTAATAGAGGAGGACCAAGGCGCAGCGTGTTGAGCGAACATACTTTAATTAGTTAAAGTGCACACACGATACAAAACAACAAAACGACTCGTAACGTCCTAGGTAACAATGACCAACTGGAACAAAAACCCACAAACACCAAGGGAAAACAGACAGTTTAAATATGGCTCCCAATCAGAGACAACCAGCCACAGCTGACACTCGTTGCCTCTGATTGGGAGTCACTCAGGCCAACAAAGAAACAGAAGAACTAGAACCCCCAACATAGAAATATAACACATAGAATGAACACACCCTGGCTCAACATATAGAGTCCCAGAGCCAGGGTGTGACAGTACCCCCCCCCCCCCCCTAAAGGCGCGGACTGCGACCGCGCCTCCACTAGAACAAAACAGGGGAGGGCTGGGTGGGCATTCCTCCTCGGCGGCGGTTCTGGCTCCGGCCTTGCCCACCACCCTCCAATAAACCCCCCATAGCGCCCCTGGTCCGGTCTGGCCCCGCTGGCTGGAGCTGAACTGGACGTAGCAGGAGCGGTTAGCTTCAGCTCCGTAGTGGAGCAGTTGACCGGTACCTTACCAGGCACCGGTGACCCAGGCACGGGTTGTGCTGGACTGACGACGCGCACCCCTGGCTTGGTGCGTGGAGCCGGAACGGGCCGGACCCGGCTGACGACTCGCACCCCTGGCTTGGTGCGTGGAGTAGGAACGGGCCGGACCGGGCTGACGATGCGCACCCCTGGCTTGGTGCGTGGAGTAGGAACGGGCCGGACCGGGCTGGCGACGCACACCGTAGGCTTGGTGCGTGGAGCAGGGACAGGCCGGACCGAGCTGGCGACGCACACCGTAGGCTTGGTGCGTGGAGCAGGGACAGGCCGGACCGGGCTGGCGACGCACACCGTAGGCTTGGTGCGTGGAGCAGGGACAGGCCGGACTGGGCTGGCGACGCACACCGTAGGCTTGGTGCGTGGACCAGGGACAGGCCGGACCGGGCTGGCGACGCACACCGTAGGCTTGGTGCGTGGAGCAGGGACAGGCCGGACCGGGCTGGCGACGCACACCGTAGGCTTGGTGCGTGGAGCAGGGACAGGCCGGACTGGGCTGGCGACGCACACCGTAGGCTTGGTGCGTGGAGCAGGGACAGGCCGGACCGGGCTGGCGACGCACACCGTAGGCTTGGTGCGTGGAGCAGGGACAGGCCGGACCGGGCTGGCGACGCACACCGTAGGCTTGGTGCGTGGAGCAGGGACAGGCCGGACCGGGCTGGCGACGCACACCGTAGGCTTGGTGCGTGGAGCAGGGACAGGCCGGACCGGGCTGGCGACGCACACCGTAGGCTTGGTGCGTGGAGCAGGGACAGGCCGGACTGGGCTGGCGACGCACACCGTAGGCTTGGTGCGTGGAGCAGGGACAGGCCGGACTGGGCTGGCGACGCACACCGTAGGCTTGGTGCGTGGAGCAGGGACAGGCCGGACCGGGCTGGCGACGCACACCGTAGGCTTGGTGCGTGGAGCAGGGACAGGCCGGACCGGGCTGGCGACGCACACCGTAGGCTTGGTGCGTGGAGCATGGACAGGCCGGACCGGGCTGGCGACGCACACCGTAGGCTTGGTGCGTGGAGCAGGGACAGGCCGGACTGGGTTGGCGACGCACACCGTAGGCTTGGTGCGAGGGGCCGTGACAGGCCGGACCGTACTGGGGACACACACCACTGGCTCTACTTTGACCAGTGGCCCCCGTAACCTGGTGGCCTTCTGAATACGCCCCTTTTCTGCCTCCGTCAGCCCCGTCGTCCATGCCCTGTGCCCCCCCCTAAAATGTATTTGGGGTTGCCTCTCGACCGTCCGACGACGACCCTGATCACGCCGTTGCTCCTCTCTCCGTCGCCTCTCTACAGTCTCACTCCATGGCCGGCGATCCATCCCGGCCAGGATTTCTTCCCAGGTCCAGGACCCCTGCCCGTCCAAAATCTGCTCCCACGTCCAGGCTGCCTGCTCCTGGACACGCTGCTTGGTCCTTGTATGGTGGGTTTTTCTGTCACGATCGTCATTAATAGAGGAGGACCAAGGCGCAGCGTGTTGAGCGAACATACTTTAATTAGTTAAAGTGCACACACGATACAAAACAACAAAACGACTCGTAACATCCTAGGTAACAATGACCAACTGGAACAAAAACCCACAAACACCAAGGGAAAACAGACAGTTTAAATATGGCTCCCAATCAGAGACAACCAGCCACAGCTGACACTCGTTGCCTCTGATTGGGAGTCACTCAGGCCAACAAAGAAACAGAAGAACTAGAACCCCCAACATAGAAATATAACACATAGAATGAACACACCCTGGCTCAACATATAGAGTCCCAGAGCCAGGGTGTGACACCCTGAGCACGTGCCTTGCGTGCCCGGGGGGGCCTAGTGGCAGCTCATAGTCTGCATATAGGCAGAGGTGGCACTGCAAGAGAATGTGAGAGAATTGCCCCTTTGCCCTAATGCTGTGTGTACTGTGAGTGTATACAGTGGGGGAAAAAAGTATTTAGTCAGCCACCAATTGTGCAAGTTCTCCCACTTAAAAAGATGAGAGAGGCCTGTAATTTTCATCATAGGTACACGTCAACTATGACAGACAAATTGAGAAAAAAAAATCCAGAAGATCACATTGTAGGATTTTTAATGAATTTATTTGCAAATTATGGTGGAAAATAAGTATTTGGTCACCTACAAACAAGCAAGATTTCTGGCTCTCACTGACCTGTAACTTCTTCTTTAAGAGGCTCCTCTGTCCTCCACTCGTTACCTGTATTAATGGCACCTGTTTGAACTTGTTATCAGTATAAAAGACACCTGTCCACAACCTCAAACAGTCACACTCCAAACTCCACTATGGCCAAGACCAAAGAGCTGTCAAAGGACACCAGAAACAAAATTGTAGACCTGCACCAGGCTGGGAAGACTGAATCTGCAATAGGTAAGCAGCTTGGTTTGAAGAAATCAACTGTGGGAGCAATTATTAGGAAATGGAAGACATACAAGACCACTGATAATCTCCCTCGATCTGGGGCTCCACGCAAGATCTCACCCCGTGGGGTCAAAATGATCACAAGAACGGTGAGCAAAAATCCCAGAACCACACGGGGGGACCTAGTGAATGACCTGCAGAGAGCTGGGACCAAAGTAACAAAGCCTACCATCAGTAACACACTACGCCGCCAGGGACTCAAATCCTGCAGTGCCAGACGTGTCCCCCTGCTTAAGCCAGTACATGTCCATGCCCGTCTGAAGTTTGCTAGAGTGCATTTGGATGATCCAGAAGAGGATTGGGAGAATGTCATATGGTCAGATGAAACAAAAATAGAACTTTTTGGTAAAAACTCAACTCGTCGTGTTTGGAGGACAAAGAATGCTGAGTTGCATCCAAAGAACACCATACCTACTGTGAAGCATGGGGGTGGAAACATCATGCTTTGGGGCTGTTTTTCTGCAAAGGGACCAGGACGACTGATCCGTGTAAAGGAAAGAATGAATGGGGCCATGTATCGTGAGATTTTGAGTGAAAACCTCCTTCCATCAGCAAGGGCATTGAAGATTAAACGTGGCTGGGTCTTTCAGCATGACAATGATCCCAAACACACCGCCCGGGCAACGAAGGAGTGGCTTCGTAAGAAGCATTTCAAGGTCCTGGAGTGGCCTAGCCAGTCTCCAGATCTCAACCCCATAGAAAATCTTTGGAGGGAGTTGAAAGTCCGTGTTGCCCAGCGACAGCCCCAAAACATCACTGCTCTAGAGGAGATCTGCATGGAGGAATGGGCCAAAATACCAGCAACAGTGTGTGAAAACCTTGTGAAGACTTACAGAAAACGTTTGACCTGTGTCATTGCCAACAAAGGGTATATAACAAAGTATTGAGAAACTTTTGTTATTGACCAAATACTTATTTTCCACCATAATTTGCAAATAAATTCATTAAAAATCCTACAATGTGATTTTCTGGAAAAAAATTTCTCATTTTGTCTGTCATAGTTGACTGTAGCTTGTTCTGGATCTATCAGTATGAATGTTTCAGTGAGAGCAGAGAGAAACAGAGCCCTGTATGGTCAAAGCCTAGAATAAAACCTGCTACTTAGTCCTGCTCAGTGTCAGAGACAGAGCTCTGTGTATCAGCAGTGTCAACAATACTAACACAGACACCTATACCATAAACACACACAATATTACACACACACCCTGAAAAACATAAATGTACACAGACACAGACACAAACACACACACACACACACACACACACACCTGCTCTGTGACCCCGCTGCGCTAGGTAAGTGAATTAGACAGGCTCAGTTTGGGGGAGAATGGAGTCATTGTTTGATTATTTGTTCCGCCACCTTAGCCTCTCTCCAACACACTTCTCAACTTCCTGCCTTAGTAAACACACTTTGTCATGCACACAAACACACATACACACACTCAGAAGCATGCAAACACATGAAAACAAATAATGCACAGACATTCACACACTGGCTCTCTCACACACACACACACACACACACTCACACACCTACAAAGGACAACACCTATACACACACACACACTCAGTAAACAAAAAGACAGTGCACCTCAGTTCTTTGTTTTATTTCTCTGGAGTAACTAACTCTGTGAACCTATTAATGCCCAGCCATTCCACATATCTGGTCTCACACCATTTGTACTAACACAGGATTAGTGGCTCTGTTGAACAAGACGTGTCTACTAACCCAAGGTCAATCTGAGTTCCCCTTGGACCCATGTCTTAGAAAGACCCACTGCCTGCCAGGAACCCAGTCCAAATTAGTAGAGGCCTTCACCGAAAGAGACAAGCCTGGGGCTACAGTTATGAAACCTTCCCCAGTGGGGGTCACTCTATCTAGGGCAGTTGTCGGGCAAGTCCTCCTGGCTAGGCCCTGACGACCCTGATCTGTAATTACAGGCTATGCACTATCTATCTCTCTGTGGTTTGGGGATTTTAAATGTCAGTGTTTTTTGGTTAGCTCACACACTCCCCCTCCTCCTCATCCTCCTCCCCTTCCCCCCTCCCCCCTCCTCCTCCTCCTCCTCCTCCTCCTCCTCCTCCTCCTCTCCCTCCTCCCCCTCCTCCTCCTCTCCCTGCTCCCCCTCCTCCTCCTCCCCCTCCTCCTCCTCCTCCTCCTCCTCACCTCCTCCTCCTCCTCCTCCTCCTCCTCCTCCTCTCTCTCTCCCTCATTCTTCTCTCATCAGATTGTTTTATAATGAAGAAAAGGCTGGTTCTGATTAAGAGTTGGGATATCGGTTAGGGGTCATAGTGGGAGCAGAGGGTGGACACACGTCCCATTCTGGTTCCCCTAGGTCTCCCCTTCTCTGATGTGAAGTGGTGCAGTTCAAGCAATTAAAGGAATATTGCATGTTGAATGCAGCTTGTATGCTTTTTGGCCACACCCATTCGTACTTTGTGCCCACATCCCCACCCTGAATAGGATTTCCTCAGTGATGTCATGCTCTATGGTAGCCCCTGCACAATAACCTCTACCCCCAACCCACAGAACATGCCAAAAATACACATTCTCATTGTCATCAACCAAGGCTCCCTGTCAGTCAGCCCTGAACAGACAGTACATACTCTCTACCCCTGACCTGGAATAATTAGGCTTAATGTTTCAACAAGACCGTTTCAAAAATACAATAAATAACTGGAGTTTCTCTGGAACTTCTATGTGACACATACTTGAAATTATGGCTGTTTAGTGTTTAGTGTACTGTTTCAGTGAATACTATAGACGATTAATCAACCCTAAAACAGCTCTCAAAATAGTTACAACCTGGAGGACTATTGTCAACAAATGAAACGTATTATGCACAGATCTTGGATCAGCTCTTACAAAGCTCTTACAGTTCTTACAGATGGACGATCTGCACTCAAACTGCTCCTCAAGGCCTTACCTGGGGCCCAGTTGTCAATCAGTGCTCCCAGGGCCTTGCCGTCCATCCAGTCACATGAACTAAGATTTAACTGTTTCTGAGTCAGCTCCAAGCCTATTAACCAGCAGAGTCTAACAACAGAATGAGTCACAGATCCTGGATCAGCTCTTACCTGGGGCACAGTTGTCGACCAGGGCTCCCAGGGCCTTGCCGTCCCTCCAGTCGCGGTGAAAGTTGTTGATGGGCAGCTGGGGCACCTTGTTCTGTATCCATCCCAGCAGCCTCTGCTTGGGGGTCAGCTTCTTGGCATCCTCATCGTCCTCGTCCTCCCACATGGGCATAGAGATGGAGTAGTGCAGGATCAGAGTCCAGATCAGACCCAGGATCAGCTTCAGGTTCCCATCCACGATGGCCTTACTGTCTGTAGAGGGGGGAGAGAGTGGAGGGTTAATGTCAGGTCATTTACTAAGGTACTGATACTGAATAAAGAACATAGTAGTAGAATAAGGTATTGTGCAAAAAAGCATCACTCCCATGAAAGCGATACTGGCCGCTATAAATTGGCCCCCAGGTAACTTGAGTTTAACCTTTTACTGCAGTGGGCTGAATCAGGGTCACACAGAGTGTTTCTTGGTGGTCTTAAACAAATCTACTTTGAAACAAAAGTATACACCTCACACATATGGTTATGGGCTTAAAAAAATGACGACACCTGTGCCATGTCAGATATAGAGTTGAAATGTGTTCAATTTTGAGTTTGCATCCCAATATTACACTTTATATACATCACAGATGACTGAAATATAACAAAACCGTTTGACATAGAAACACCGGATTTACGGCAGCTTTTTGAAATAATATTAATTAATTATGAAATTATGAAAAATATTAATAACATTCCACCCAAGAGGCCACTAGGTCATTTGACTGGAGGAAAGGGCTATGACCTCTGCCATATACAGTTAACACACAAACTGGGGAGCAGATTAAGTCTAGCCCTAACCCCTTGTGTGGGGCCTCTCTACCATACACACACACACACACACACACACACATACACACAAACACTACTGCACCAGGGCCATCTGATCATTCTGTTCTAAAGAGAAACAGCTTGTTGTAGAATCATAATAACATAGTTCTGGTGTCTGCCCTCGGCCTTCAGCTGCCTGGCACAACAACAACATCAACATCTGTGTTTACTCTGCTCTTATTAGACCCAGTGATCACTTTACCAGGGAGATCACACATATGGCGGCAGGGGGAGATGGTGGGGGGGATTAGGCAATGGTATCACCCTAGGACTCCTCAGTCATCGTCTTCATCATACTTATGTTTACTCTTGGCTTCCTGCTGCAATCCATTTGTCTTGTCTGGTTGGATGATCCCTCACACACACACACACACGCACACACACACGCACAGACACACACACACGTACACACACACACACACACACACACGCACACACACACAGACACACACACACACACACAGAGACACTCCCTGGCTTGTGTATGTGTTACTGCAGGATCCGGAGCAGTGGGAATTTGGGGTGTACGCCATGTGTTTGTGTGTCTGTTTCCTGACTGACTGACTGACTGAGATGACTGTGCACATTCAGCTGGGCCAGACTCATCTAAGGATTTTCCCATCTCTCATGACAATATTTAGTTCTACATTAATCTCTGTGCTGTCTAAAAGTGTTTGTATTGTATGATATGCTAGTCTGGATAAAAGCCATACAGATGTCTAGTTTGTGGATGAATGTTGTGTTATTTTCACTACAAAATTTGACTTACAAATGCACACTGCTAGTACAGCCTAACAGCACTAGGCTACATCTAACATCTAGCTATGAAGTATTAATCAAGCTAGACAGTGGACAGAGCTGTGTATCAGTACTACACTCTTCTATCTTGAACCTAAAATAGTTATTCGGCTGTCCCCATAGGAGAATCCTTTGAAGAACCATTTTTGGTTCCAGGAAGAACCCTTTTGGGTTCCATGTAGAACCCTTTCCACAGGGGATTCTACATGGAACCCAAAAAAGTTATACTTGGAACCAAAAAGTGTTCTACCTGGAACCAAAAAGGGTTCTCCTATGGGGACAGCCAAATAACCCTTTTGGAACCCCTTTTTCTAAGAGTGTAGTACTTGAACCTGATGCCATTTAACCCTAGGTATATGGAATGAGGTCAGATTAAATAAAACACAGACACACATAAATACTCACAGAGTCAAACACCAAACACACATACATGCAGGGACGGCTTGTTCAATAGGGCGATATGGGCGACGCACTGCCAAACGGGAAAAGGAAGGGATTTTTTTTCTAATCAATTATATCACGGCAACAGCAGTTATCAGTGTTCACGTCTGATCTGCCAGCCACTAAATGTCAAATCAGGCTAAAGTCGTGCTTCAAATGGCCCCGCCCGTTTTTTGGGCGATTTCAGTCAGGTTGAAAATCGCCCAGAAGTCTCTCATAGCCTGTCATGTAAAATCTATTTTTTTCACATTTCAAAGCTTTCAATACATTCTCTATGGGTGTCTGTGGGCATGCACTTACGCGCTTTCGTCATACGTGACGTAACGTTGAACGTAACTAAGACAATGGCGGCTAGCAGCGTCTATGTTGCGACCTGCAGTGTGGCGTTATTTTATGTTTTTAATTTGTAGACTTAGTTTACAAACATTCTGCAAACATTCTGCTTTGGACTGATCTTCGGTTTTGGACTGATCTTGTTGATCGTGTACATACCCGCTACGAACGGACTAAATAATGAAAACGCTGCTGGCAGCGGAATCCCAATACAGCTGGGAGACTTGGCTGGATGACAGAGTCCCGGACAGAGAGGTGGAGCCGGCCGGCTTCACCCTGGTCAGAGCGGACCGCGATCCTGGTAAGAGAGCGACTCTGTACCCCGACATTGAACTGCTTTCTGTGTCATTGAACCTTACTATTGTTGATAAAACAAGTTTACTGGAGAACGGAGACCAAGTAGAGACTTTTGGACAAGGTGGATAATTGTATAATATAAGGCAGTTTATTCAGAGGTAAAGATATCTGGAATCGCGTGCACGGACCCGTTCGTCAAACTCGTAGGGAGTTTATCAGAAGAGCCCCTAAACATTGTGTGCTGACATTTTATACAATAAAATTAAGTAGGTTGAATCTAGTAGTTCTGATCTTCTGATTGGTCCTGATGAGTTGGGCGAGGTCACCTCCAGGCTAGTGTCACTGTTGCATTGGCTCTGAGTCGGGTTCTCTGTCTTCAGATGTTCAGCCTAAGAGAAGAGGATTTGTGTGTGTGTGTGTGTGTGTTTGTTATCAGTGTGTGTGTGTGTGTGTGTGTGTGTGTGTTTGTTATCAGTGATGATGTGTGTGTGTGTGTGTGTGTGTTTATCAGTGATGATGTGTGTGTGTGTGTGTGTGTGTGTGTGGGTGTGTGTGTGTGTGTGTGTCCTCAGGGCAAGAACTCGTGAGTTGGAAGAACTGAGAGACCTATGGCGTGGGTGTTATCCTTAGCCACCTGCTGACAAGGCTGACAAGATAGGACTCTTGTTCATTGTATTGAATACAAAGGCCCAACACAAAATGGGTCATGCACAAGATTTTAGTCAGACCAAGCTATAACATTATATATTTACTACGACAGTACATTCAACCAAAAGCTAATATAAAAAAGGCATCAGAGATTATTTATAATCTGTCACAGAAACTGGAATCCATCTCCCCAGATCAGTCAATAAATGCTTCTGGTATTGACTTATATGCTGCCCCTGTCTTCATGTTGTTGCTGGACATATCTTTTTTAAAATGTGTGTAGGTCACCTAAATCATCAGAAAAATTGCCCCTCCTGAGAATTTTTTCAGGAGCCGCCACTGCATACATGGAATCAAAAAAATGACAGAGGTCCCCTACGGTCCAACTTAGCTAACCTGGACGCTTATAAGAAATCCCGCTATGCCCTCCGACGAACCATCAAACAGGCAAAGAGTCAATACAGGGCTAAGATTGAATCGTACTACACTGGCTCTGACGCTCGTCGGATGTGGCAGGGCTTGAAAACTATTACAGACTACAAAGGGAAGCACAGCCGCGAGCTGCCCAGTGACACAAGCCTACCAGACGAGCTAAACCACTTCTATGCTCGCTTCGAGGCAAGCAACACTGAAGCATGCATGAGAGCACCAGCTGTTCCGGATGACTATGTGATCACGCTCTCCGTAGCCGATGTGAGTAAGACTTTTAAGCAGGTCAACATTCACAAGGCCGCAGGGCCAGACGGATTACCAGGACGTGTACTCCGAGCATGTGCTGACCAACTGGCAAGTGTCTTCACTGACATTTTCAACATGTCCCTGACTGAGTCTGTAATACCAACATGTTTCAAGCAGACCACCATAGTCCCCATGCCCAAGGACTCTAAGATAACCTGCCTAAATGACTACCGACCCGTAGCACTGACGTCTGTAGCCATGAAGTGCTTTGAAAGGCTGGTCATGGCTCACATCAACAGCATTATCCCAGAAACCCTAGACCCACTCCAATTTGCATACCGCCCCAACAGATCCACAGATGATGCAATCTCTATTGCACTCCACACTGCCCTTTCCCACCTGGACAAGAGGAACACCTACGTGAGAATGCTATTCATTGACTACAGCTCAGCATTCAACACCATAGTGCCCTCTAAGCTCATCACTAAGCTAAGGATCCTGGGACTAAACACCTCCCTCTGCAACTGGATCCTGGACTTCCTGACGGGCCGCCCCCAGGTGGTAAGGGTAGGTAACAACACATCTGCCACACTGATCCTCAACACGGGGGCCCCTCAGGGGTGCGTGCTCAGTCCCCTCCTGTACTCTCTGTTCACCCATGACTGCATGGCCAGGCACGACTCCAACACCATCATTAAGTTTGCCGACGACACAACAGTGGTAGGCCTGATCACCGACAACGATGAGACAGCTTATAGGGAGGAGGTCAGAGACCTGGCCGTGTGGTGCCAGGACAACAACCTCTCCCTCAACGTGACCAAGACAAAGGAGATGATTGTGGACTACAGGAAAAAAAAGAGGACTGAGCACGCCCCCATTCTCATCGACGGGGCTGTAGCGGAACAGGTTGAGAGATTCAAGTTCCTTGGTGTCCACATCACCAACGAACTATCATGGTCCAAACACACCAAGACAGTCGTGAAGAGGGCACAACAAAGCCTATTCCCCCTCAGGAGACTGAAAAGATTTGGCATGGGTCCTCAGATCCTCAAAAAATTCTACAGCTGCACCATCGAGAGCATCCTGACTGGTTGCATCACCGCCTGGTATGGCAACTGCTTGGCCTCCGACCGCAAGGCACTACAGAGGGTAGTGCGTACGGCCCAGTACATCACTGGGGCCAAGCTTCCTGCCATCCAGGACCTCTATACCAGGCGGTGTCAGAGGAAGGCCCTCAAAATTGTCAAAGACTCCAGCCACCCTAGTCATAGACTGTTCTCCCTGCTACCGCACGGCAAGCGGTACCGGAGTGCCAAGTCTAGGTCCAAAAGACTTCTCAACAGCTTCTACCCCCAAGCCATAAGACTCCTGAACAGCTAATCATGGCTACCCTGACTATTTGCACTGCCCCCCCACCCCATCCTTTTTACGCTGCTGCTACTCTGTTAATTATTTATGCATAGTCACTTTAACTCTACCCACATGTACATATTACTTCAACTATCTCAACTAGCCGGTGCCCCCGCACATTGACTCTGCACCGGTACCCCCCTGTATATATAGCCTCCCTACTGTTATTTTATTTTACTTCTGCTCTTTTTTTCTCAACACTTTTTTTGTTGTTGTTTTATTTTAAATGCACTGTTGGTTAAGGGCTGTAAGTAAGCATTTCACTGTAATGTCTGCACCTGTTGTATTCGGCGCATGTGACCAATAACATTTGATTTGATTTGATTTGATTTGAGCTGTCTAATTGTCTGAGCTAAAGCGAAGTGGTTTTATGCGCCGACTAAATGGAAGCTGGTAATTATAAGTTTTTTACTCCGCTGGTCTCGGCTAGTCTCGGGAAGGAAGTCCTCATTGTCTGAGACCGAGTCAAGACCGAGACACTCAATATGTGGTCTCGAGACCGGACTCGAGACAAACACTGACACACACACACACACACACACAACTGCTCAAATCTCAGGCCAAACTCTGCAACTTGACCCCACATAGGAGACAAGCACACTGACAGAACCATTTTCACATTTCCCTTCTCTTCCTTTTCCTCTCTTCCTTTCCCTCTCTTCCTTTTCCTCTCTTCTTTCCTTCAGGCCTGCGTCTTCCTGCCACTCTCGTTCCTTTCTCGTCGCT